CTCCAGGAGCCCCCCCCCTCCCCCCCCCCAAGCACCAAGAGTACAGAGCATCACTGCCCCAGACAGAGTGTTCCATCTATACCGTGTGGCTCACAGCCACGGGTGGACCTCTGCTCCACATGTTTATCCGGTCCCCTCTGGAAGCGGTCTATGCTTGTAGCTGCCACCACTTCCTTCAGCAGTGCATTCCAGGTGTTCATTACCCTTTGGGTGAAAAAGACGGAAACTCTGGGTAGGACTTCCAGTTTCTGTTCTGACGAGCAAGACACCTGCCTCTTTTACTCTTACATCTTATGATTTCTTCTGTGTTTATCTGAAAATTAACTTTGGTGTGTGTTTCCCCCCCCCCCCTTTTGCACATACAGCCTCTAGGGCTGCTTTTTAAATAAAGAGAACAGCTTCCTTTGTTGTTTTCTCACTGGAGAAAAGCTAACCTAGAGTGGCCCATTATTCCCACTGGAGGGCAGGATATGGGTAGCTGTAATTTTTTTTTATTCCCAGCAGGGGGTGTAAAAGCCGCTTGCGGGTGGCTTTTTCCAGAGAGAAAACAGCAAGGGGGGAAAGGGTTAACACACACACACACACACACACACACACACATACACACACACTGTCTCTCTCTTTTGGTAAATTAGCTGTTGTAGATTTTCCGGGTGGTGTGGCCGTGGTCTTGGCACTGTAGGACCTGACGTGTCGCCAGCAGCTGTGACTGACATCCTCAGAGGTACAACACAGTAAAATGGAGTACTCTCTGTGTCAAGGTGAGAAGACAAAGGGTAGGCAGGTGATTTATATCTACTCGGGAAGGTGGGGTAGGGCTGAGTCATTCTCTTGTAGGAGTCCCCCAGGCTGTGAACATGCTAATGGGGGAGCTTTCCTGAGGAGGATCTTTTGCATATGGATTGGCTGCTGAAATTCTAAACTTATCTGTAGTGCTAACCAGGTAGCTAACCAGGTAGCTAACCAGGTAGCTAACCAGGTACCTAAGCTTGCAAAAGGAAACAAAAAGTGGGGGCTTTCACACTCTCAGATGTAAACTCTAGTTGCAAAGTGGATTGAAAGGGGATCGTTCAGCCTGTGCGAAATCGGAAAGTTGTTTAAAACACAGGAGGAATAGGCAGGTATAGCCGACTCCTCATTCTTCTCTGGCTAATGGGGGGGGCACACTTGGTCCTAAATAAGCTGCAACACACCCAACAGTATATCCTACGCTGGGTCAGCAGCACTACTGGAGTTGCCGGCCCCGCGGTGGGGCCTGGAGATCTCCAGGAACTACGACTGATGTCAGAGAGAGGTTCCCCTGGAGAAAGCGGCTGCTTGGGAGGGTGGGTTCGCCAGCATCCTGCCCCACGGGGGCCCTTCGCACTCCACCCCCAAATTTCCAGGGATTTCCCAACCTGGAGCTGGCAACCCAAAGAATGACTGCAACTAGCACATCTGGCATCCTGTCCCGGATGGGGAATTAGATAAGCATATGGAGCAGAGGTCCATCAGTGGCTATTAGCCACAAGGTATAGATAGGGGCTCTGGGGCAAGTGATGCTCTGTCTTCTTGGTGCTTGGGGGGGGGGTCAACAGTGGGAGGGCTTCTAATGTCCTGGCCCCACGGGTGGACCTCCTGATGGCACCTGGTATTTCTGGCCACTGTGTGATACAGAGCGTTGGACTGGATGGGCCTTTGGCCTGATCCAACATTGGCGTCTCTTATGTTCTTCTGTTCTTATATTCCTCCATTCCTGGGTTAAGCGAACCAGGACCATGAGGCAGTGGGCTGGGAGAGGAGGATTATGAGTGGTGCCAATTCACCCTACAGAGGGAGAAGCATGGGTGGCTGTTTTTTTAATTAACAAATTTTCCTTGTATGCTGGAAACTAGCAGGAAAGTTTCAGCCTGCAGCCCTTCTCAACTTTACTACATCCAAAGAAGGGTGTTCTTTTTACATGAGAACATTCAAATGCTGGACTTATAATTTATGTAAATGTTTGTATATTCAGCCGTAAGCCAGAAGCGACCTGACAGCACATATAGCGGCAGAAGTATATCTCTTTCTGCATTATGATTTAATGTATGGCATTTAGAAGAAGAAGAGAAGACCCCCACCCTTCACTACCTGAAGGAGTCTCAGAGCGACTTACAAGCTCCTTTCCCTTCCCCTCCCCACAACAGACACCCTGTGAGGTAGGTGGGGCTAGGAGAGCTCTTTCGAGGACTGCTCCTGAGAGAACAGCTCCAAGAGAACTTATGACTGACCCAAGGTCACCCAGCTGGCTGCATGTGGAGGAGCGGCGAATCAAATCCAGTTCTCCAAGATTAGAATCCACGCTCCTAACCACTACACCAAACTGGCAATTTACCAATTGGGACGTCTTAAGGATGATCCCAGGAGCTGCGGTTGCTCAAGTGGTTAAGACGCTGAACTGCTGGCTGTGGAAGGTCAGTAGTTCAGCAGTTCGAGACCCGGGTGCTGCAAGACAGAGTGAGCTCCCGTCTCTAGTTCCAGCTCCTGCCACCCTAGCAGTTCAAAAGCAAGAAATTGCAAGTAGATAAATAGGTACCACTTCGGTGGGAAGGGAACAGCATTCCGTGCACCTTGGTGTTTAGTCATGCCGGCCACATGACCAAGGAAACGTCTTCGGACAGCGCTGGCTCTTCGGCTTGGAAACAGAGATGAGCACCGCAACCCTAGAGTCGGATTCGACTGGCTTTCGAGCAAGGGAACCTTTACCTTTAAGGATGAACTAGAAATCACCTGCTTGCGTTCAGTCAAATTAACTGAGCACCAGTTAAGGGCAACTGACCTTTTATTTATTCGTTTACTGCATTCGTACCCCGTTTTCCTCCCCAGTGGGGACCCAAAGGGGCTCACATTGTTCTCCCTGCCTCCATTTTATCCTCACAACAACCCTGTGAGGTAGGCTAGGCGGAGAGGGCGCGCCTGGTCCAAGGTCGCCCACTGAGCTTCTAGGGCAGAGAGGGGTTTTGAACCTGGCTGTCCCGGATTCTTGGCCAGCACTCTAACCACTCCACCATTCTGCCTCTCTTAAACAGTAATTCCAGTACTGGGTAACGACCAGTGACTGTACTGAGAATGGTCTTTGGCTGTGTGTTTAGTTGGTCAAGACTAAATCTGTGAACTTATTTTTCTTATAAGACGACTGCTCAGTTCTGACGATATATTGAAGTCATAAAGATCCAGGCAGCTGCGAGGACGCCTCATCGACGGTTACTGTGGGATTATGAGTAATGGGCTGGGTCCTAACCACTGTGAATACGACCCTCCCCCCCATGCAGTTCATTCAGCCCCCACACAAACACACACGCACCGGTTCTGTGAGGGTCAATTTGCCCTCAAGAACAATGGAGGAGGGGGTGAAAACAGTGCAGGGGGAGAGCCAGTTTGGTGTAGTGGTTAAGAGCGGCGGGCTCTAATCTGGAGAGCCGGGTTTGATTCCCCACTCCTCCTCCACATGAAGCCAGCTGGTGTGACCCTGGGTCAGTCACAAGTTCTCTCAGAACACTCTCAGCCCCGCCTGCCTCACAGGGTGCCTGTTGTGGGGAGAGGAAGGGAAGGAGATTGTCAGCCGCTCTGAGACTCCGAGTGGGGTATAAATCCAACTCTCCTTAAAAATGGGAGTCTTTAATGCCAAAAAAGCCCATGGAAAACAAGACACACTTTAGTCAACATCTAACTGCAGAATTTCTGGCGGAGAGATTCGCATACGAGCGGCGCGGCCTCTTCCGGATCCAAGTATACCATCGGTACCGTCTAAGGAGCTCAAACACACACTGGCTTGCTTAAGAGAGGTGAACCGGAAAAACCTTCTGGCTACCGAGGTGGATTGATAGTCAAGGCTGACCCGGGGCTCTTCGCATTCTAGGACTGGACTGAAGGTCTTAACCACTGGGTGGTGCAATACAAGAACTCCTTGTGGGCACTCCATGAAACTGCTGAGCGGTCGGGTTGGAACGGATAAAAGGAAGCACTTCTTCACCCAAAGAGTGATTAACACATGGAATTCACTGCCACAGGAAGTGGTGGCGGCTACAAGCATGGGCGGCTTCAAGAGGGAATTAGATAAGCACAAGAAAGGGGACCCGCGAAAATCGCGGGGGGAGGAGCGGGGGAGCTCCACACAGAACAAGCGGAGGAGGAAGAAGCAGGTAAG